TTACTCACCTCTTTCCCCTGCCCACATCATTGTGTTGTGTTTTGGAAGTGTAGTTCGTGAAAGAACTCTTGTGTATTTGAAGCCGGCGTATCTCTCGCCGAAGTATCTTGGTAACCAGGATTTATATTTTATTTTTGCCAGTGATCGAATTTGAAAACAGACTATCTTTCTTGGATAAATACTTAACATCATTTATCCCCATTAGCACCGGAATCCATCAGCACCACAAACCTCCTGGTTTTTGAATTAACACCCGAAAAATCAAGATATTCTTCAAAAGTTTTTTTTTTTTTTGAGAGGTTTTCGCAGAAGGGCACGTGGGTGCGCCAGACAGAGACAGAGAGACAGAAAGCGAGAAATCCCCCCCCCCCCAGGGAGGATAGCCACGCCGCAATCCCTTCTCCTCCATTCTCCTCTTGGGATCTTGGGCACGCACGCACATGCACCCGGCGTGAGTTTTAAGGCACCAGGTCCGGGACGTGAACCGCAGTCGACTACGTAGGAGTCCAGCGACATAGCCATTACGCTAACTGCTGGACCTGATATTCTTCAAAAGTTCATAGGCTCCATTGCCTCCCCTTTGGTTGTGATCAGACCTCAGCTTTCTTGTTATTTCTAGTTTCTCCCACTTCCATTGTTCACGGTCCACCTCTTTCAGCATTAAGCGTTGTTACAATTCAAAACTATATTTAAGAATACATATGCTTGCCTAAGAGATCAAAATTCATTTCATGCGGAAGGGATCAAGATTCCTTTCATGCCTTTCTGCAAAAGCAGTAATATTCATATCTTGCTTTTTACCTTTCAAAATGAGTAATAAGTTTCTTGACAATTTTATTAGCATTATCTCATAAGTAGAAGCACTACTTTTAGCATTTGACTTGGAGAAGCCTACGTACTGGGTAGTCAGGAAAGACGTGTTGCATTTTTGCATAGAAAAATACATCATGACTTTCTCAACAGCCTAATACATAGAGATTTAGGGAATTCATTACCTCAACCTGTATTTGTTGTGTAATTTCTGTGAACCAGGTGTTGTGCCAGTTGGGTAGGACAGGAAGGATAAGTGGCAGAGACAAAAGTCCTTCACAGAACCTTCAGTACGACTCACACTGGCCAAGTGAAAACTAGAACATGAGCCATATATGCAATTTAAAGTTTTTAAGGGGCCACATTAAAAAAGTCAACACAAATAGGTGAAATTAATTTTACTAGTATGTTTTATTTAACTGAATACATTCACAATATTGTCATTTCAACATGTAATCAATACATAAAATTTGCCATGGGGTAATTTACCTTTTTTTTTCATTGTATTCAAATGCTGGTGTCTATTGTATACTCAAATCACTTCTCATTTGGATCTGGAAATATTTTAAATAGTAAAGAGCCTCTGTGGCTAATGGCTACTGGATTGTTCAACACAGATTGTGTATATGTGTGTGTGTGTGTGTGTGTGAGAGAGAGAGAGAGAGAGCAAATACGAAATGGGGAAGAGTTGAAACACCAGCGGGTAATCAATATAGGGAATTTCAGAAGAGTGGGGAAAGTAGAAGATGTGATGAAAGCAACTTGGGAAGAGCTTTCAGTGAAGAGAAAGGATCCTGCTGGAGTAAACAGTGTAATCTGAGATCAGAAGGAATCGCCGGAAATTACAAGGTTAGTTAGTGACAAAGCAGATAACTGGAAGCCAGTCACTACGAACATTAAACCTTTGCCACACGTGATTGTGTGACTTGGAACAAGGCTCATATTTTTCCCATCTGTAAAAAAGAAAACAATTGTTGATTTTCAAAATTAATGGAGGGACCAGCAGTTTAGCGTAATGGCTTTGTTGCTGAACTCCCATGTAGTTGACAGTGGTTCAAGTCCCAGACCCGGTGTCTTAAACTCACACCGGTGCGTGTGCGTGCATGCCCAGGATCCTGAGAGGAGAATGGAGGAGAAGGGATTGCGGCGTGACCATCCCCCCTGGGGGGGTGATTTCTCGCTTTCTGTCTCTCTGTGTCTCTCAATCTTTCTGGCGAGTGCACACGCCCTATAGCAAAAACCTCTCAAAAAAATAAAATAAAATAATGGAAAGTGCTACGAGTAGAAAAGCTTTTTTTTTTTTTTTTTTTTTTTTTAAAAAAAAAGACCATTTATAAATAAACATGGAGTGTATTTCCTGAGGTTCCTTGGGTAAGATTTGTCTAATCTTACACAAATCAGCCATCTGTGGCAAAAGAAAAGTTATGAGTTGAACAACACAGATTGCACTCTGACTGCTTTGAGAATGGCAGTTTTTAATCCATATTCGTGATGGATCTGGTCCATTCATTCCAGTCTCCTGTGTGGTGGAATATACCACATACATAATGTCGTTGCACACAGCATGTTATATAGAGCATAAAGAGATTTCTATGTTCCGGTCAATTAAAGATGATAAAGAAATAGAGAAAGGCAATGGATAAGTTGGGATCTATTGTTTTATGAGCCTTGTAACGTTTGCCTGTACCGTCAAAAAATCTAAACCTCGCTATGGCCCTGATCGTGAGGGTACTATACCCTTTGTACAGTGGCAAACAGAGCCCCAGGGTGGTCAGGCAGCATGACGGAGGTTCTGAGGCCAGGAGGGGGCAGAACACGGCTTGGATCTCAATTCCCATGGATTTTGGAGATAGAAGAAGTGTCTTTCTTAAAGCAAAGATGACAATTCATCCTAAGCAAATTCTGACGTTCTTAAAAAATAACCTGAAAAGCGCCTCATAGTTTCAGACTAATTGTAGAATAGCCAAAGTCATTTTTTCTCTTCACTCATGTTTTATACTGATAGAAAGGATAAAAGGCAGAGAACTGATACTCCTTTCATTGCTTTTTGTGCAGTTTCAACATACGTGCCTGGGACCAGCAGTTAGCGTAATGGCTATGTCACTGGACTCCCATGTAGTCGACCGCGGTTCACGTCCCGGACCCGGTGGCTTACACTCATGCTGGGCGTGTGTGCGTGCATTCAAAAGAGGAAAATGGAGGAGAAGGGATTGCGGTGTGGCCATCTCCTCTGGGGGGGTGATTTCTCGCTTTCTGTCTCTCGGTCTCTCTCTATCTTTCTGGCAAGCACACGCACCCTATATCAAAAAAAAAAATCTCTTAAATAAAAAATACATGCCCTAAGCTGCCCAGTATTATAACCACTGATGAGCTCGTTGCATGCCAGGCCCTGGTTTTGAGTTCTTTACCAAATAGAGTAATTCATCAGCTCCTCACTACAATCCCATGAAGTAGATCGTATTTTCATACCTGTTTTACAGATAAAATAAAGAAACCTGCCCAAGGTTACCGACTGGTCAGTGGTAGAGCCTGGACTGAAAGCAACATGATCTGGCTCAAAACCATAACAAGAGTGCCTCACTACACTGTTAAAAGATCAGTCTAGTAAATCTCTTTTTTTTTTTTGGAGAGGTTTTTGCTATAGGGTGCATGCACTCACCAGACAGAAAGCAGAGACAGAGAGACAGAAAGTGAGAAATCACCCCCCAGGGGGGATGGCCACGCCGCAATCCCTTCTCCTCCATTCTCCTCTCGGGATCTTGGGCACACACGCACACGCGCCCAGCGTGAGTTTAAACCACCGGGTCTGGGACGCGAACCGTGGTCAACTACATGGGAGTCCAGCGACATAGCCATTACGCTAACTGCTGGTCCCAGTCTAGTAAATTTCTTTGGTAAGGTTAGAGTTAAACTGAATAGACTGTGGCTTATTAGTGCCCTGTTTCTGGAAGGACTTTGAAAAA